CTGAGCATGGTCAAAAGTACCACGGTCTGCATACTTTGGTATCTGTAGGTATTTTAAAAAGTTCACCTCTCTCTTTTACCTGAAAAACTTGATCTCTTAAGCATTCTCAGAGCACATCCATCTGATTGATTAAACTTGACACAAAACCAAGCTGATGGTAATTTCTTGGTGTGATTAGAATTGTCCAGGGTGCATGAGATGTATGTTTAACTCCTTTTTCAGCCTTTGCAAACTAGCAGCTAAGAAATGGAGTATTCCAAAAGAAAATGGTGCAGCCATTTCTCCTTCCAAAGGCATTTGGAAGGCACTTTGCATGGAATTAAATACTCATAAGCATAAGAGAGAATACTCTAATCATTAGTCTAGATAGTCAAGATATTGGGGAGAAGAGTTAGAACTCAAGTTTTTACACAGGCAAATGTATCAATTACAGAGTTTCTCTGTGTTTGATATACTTTATGTGTGTTATCTTACTTTCTCTCAGTGTTTAACTATCCTATACAAGGTGGAGGAGCGTCAGTAGGGTGGACTGAAAACTCTGTCTTCATCCTCAGATGCTCTTAGATGCTGTTGTAGGGTTTGTGCCCTGAGAAGTTAAAGTTCATTAGGCAAAGGAAACAGCTGAACCCAGACCTCTCACTTCCTTTCTCAGAACCCTAATGATCAAGCAAGTGGAAGATGGGACAGGTGATAGCACCAACAGCTCCTCCTCTCCATTTGCTCCTCAAAGAACAGGATCCTCTCCTTCCAATTTGCATTCAGACATCTAATGCCTGAAGGAAGTTTCAGCCCTGTGAATCTCTGGCAGTGTCTCCCAGCAGCTTGGAATATCTGAACTCCTAAAAAGGCAAGATTAAAACCACAGTATTTCCATGCGGCTGTCACTAACCGGCTCTTTGCTTAGCCTGCTAGCCTTCCTAGGTGCTAGAAGAACTCTGATTTCTTGTAAGGGAAGCCTAGGTGATAGTTTATCTATCAGGCATGGCAGTACCTAACAGTAGTCACAAACTGTCTTTTGAGAAAATAGTTCTGAAGCCTTAAATTACTATTTTCGATTATTGACAGCGTATCAGACCACTTCTGTGCAGTGTCTTTCCTGTACGATTCTCTCGCTAGCCTTGTTCTCAACATATTTTAAATCAAAACACATCCTCTGCTTGGTTCTCTGTGAAAGCTGATTTTGTTACTGTATACCAAGCAGTACTGCTTTTAACATTAGACATTATCACTTAAGCTTTTGATCTTGTCTTTGGTCTCTTTTCTGCTTAGAAATATTCACATTTTATGCTGCTGTTGAAAATAAACACTAGCTTCCGAAAAGTACTAGTCCAGCAGTAAGTACGTTTACTTTGCTATTATAGTATCAGGAGATCCTCCAAAAGAAATCTGCAATGTCCATAAATAAATTAGATTAAAATTAATCTCAAAAATTGTTCAGTTTTTCATTGCAAGGGCCCCATAATCTAATGAATATGATCAGACTAAATTTTATTGGCTTACAATATATTCAGTGGGGTATTCCTCACCATTTTAATTTGTGTAAAGTCCTTTGCATGCTACACCATTCTCCATTCACCATTGTAAGACCTCGAAACAAGTGGGGCAGTGGGGCAGTGGGGTAACTCATATGAAAATCACATGGGTGGCATTCAGCTGAGTAAATGCAGACTCTTACAATGTAGACATTTACAGCTGAATGAGATACCCGCTGGTCCTGTTACAGCCAATGGAGAGAAACAGGCATTTCTAGGATGCAACTCAGCTTATCCTAATGTAGACATCTAAAATAGGTTAGATGAATCATACACTAAATGTGCCTATTTCTGGTTCCCTTTATACTCAGTGGAGAGAGTGACTAGCTCAGATGCAGACATTCACATACTAGACATCTAAACTTAAGTGAGATGAACAACCCAAGATGTCTTTCCATATCCCTTAAAAATGTCTGGTCTAGGAACAAAATGTCAAAAGATTGTTTTCAGCTAACTCTAGCCTCTTCCAATGTATCAGCCCTCTGAATATTTTATTTGGTATCCTCCTTCTAAAAACACTTTGCAAATATCCAGATCATGACTGATACTCATCACAGACAGGTTTTTGATAGTTTTTGCTGTGTCACAATACTGTGATCATGTGTATGTGTATCTAGTTTGTGTATCAATTCAATGAATGTGTCGTGTACCTCATCAATGCTTCCCTAAACAAAAACTACAAAAAACCCTAACAGGTTAATATAGAAGGCAGCAGTAGACAGCTAAGTGAATCAAGGCTGATATTAAAGCAACATGAAGACTAAACCACCGCATTTGGAACTGCCCATACATGGATATAATTGCAGATGGTAAAGTGAGGAGAAATGCTACAAGAAGTATTATGATGACTACAGAAAAGATGCAAGGCAGCAGAGAAGAACTCTGAAAGCTAATATTCCTTCAGCCACACAACCTCTGCTTATCCTAATGTCTGCTGCTGTTTATGCCAACAAGCCTACCTGTTTCTTTTTGCTGGGTGCCACCACCCTACTGCCAGTATGGATGGCACTCATTCACAATAGTGGATGCCATCACCAGCAGAAGTAGCTCCTAGCTCTGTAATGGGCTGTATAAACCTTTGAATTTACTTGTTTGCTGATAATTATGTGTATGCCACCATTTGGAATGTTCTGCATTATGCTACTGAATGTGTGCATTTGTTTATCTCCGTAATATAAAAAATACAGAGTTTAAATTCTTAGGGGAATGATAAGGGTATAATCATACCAGCTGCAACGTTTCAGCCTAATCATACATCAATATAGAGTTGTTTGTTACACCCTCCCTGAATCAGTGAAATCTCTTAATTTGTTTCTGTGGTCTAACTTGCTCCAAGTGGTTTGCCACAGCCCACTGGTTCGTGCCTATAAAAAACGGTACATTTGCCATCCAAATACTAACCAGATTTTTTGCTCCCACATTCCAAGAAGCTAAACTTTCAACTCAAGTCTTTCCCCTGAAGTATTATGCAGTTCTTCAGTCCACCTCCTGAAGGTTTGGCCACCTTGTTTCCCTGGGAATCCAGCAAGGGCGCAAAATGATAGCTGTTTGAGAAATTATCCTTCTCTCACCATTTTACACTCAGATTTTCTCAAAGCCATATTCTCTTTATGGAACATGGTATCTTGGAAACAAAGTCAGGCAATATCCTAACGTTTTTGCCCCCTTTTTACACATTGCTGATAGTTTACTTAGACTGCAGTGGTTTTGCATTTAAGATTAAATAAATTAATTAGGAACATAGGAGTTGTATGGAAAAAAATAAGGAAACAAAAGTAAAGTACATCTAGGGGTACACAATAAATTCAAGCACTTACTTCCCTTTATAAAAATTATTTTCTTCACATCCATGTAAACTTCTTTGCACATTCAGGTTTCAAACAATAATATCCTGGCCTCAGACTGATAGGAGCTTAAATATCTCCAAAGTCTGAAGAAGTAGTGTCTGACTTATTGTTTAACCCTTGGATATTTATATGCATGTGCTATATCATTTATAGAATCTGTTATTCATCTAGAGTGTTGTTTTTCAGTAGCTCAGCTGTTCAGATTTAACTTGCCAGAGTTGTAATGGGGTTTCTGCAGAGATGCAGAGTAAGGGCTTTTTGCTCATCTTGGGCACTGTGTTTTGCACTATTATCACCACAGAGTTCACCTTGAGAGCTGTTTTCTGAGACGTATAATAAAGAGTTAACCGCTATAAAAGTTGCCACCTTGGAAAGCACAGAAGGCTATTCCTAAAACGGCAGATCCAAAAGCCAGTTCAGCAGCGGCAGGTAATCACATTTACATCTTAAACCTAGACTTGGATTCATTTTGAACAATACTGAACATAGCCCATAGAAGTCTCAAAATTATATTAAAATGCTTTCTGGCACTGTGCATTAAATGAATTGCAGGATGTGAAAGGGAAGGTGAGCACTGTGAGCGCTTCCAGACTGAGAGGTGTGTTCAGCAGGAAGGTTTATTTGAGATAACCCTCAACCAAGACTCTTCTCCAGATGCTCTCATCCAGAGGTTCTCTTTAAATGATTGCATTTAAGCGTCTGACTTCCTGAACTTGTGAACTGGAAATTTAACCTAATTCACTTTTGCACTGACTGAAGAGTGAGCTGGTACGGGCTGTGGGCAGGCCGCTGGCTCCGCTATTTGCGGCAGTCCCCAGGACAACCGGCATGCCGCGGAGGATTCCACCGCCCCCCAGAAGAACCCGGCACTGCAAGCGTCTGTCTTTCTGAAGTCAGTTTAATTTACTGTATTATTGTACCCACAGCAGCCGAAAATACTGGCTTCAGCCCTGCCAACACCCCTGTTTAACTACACACATGTGAGTTGCACGACGAAGTTCAATAGGACTATTCTCGAGTGTAAAGTAATATCCTTGTCTCCAGTTTGGGAAGTAGCTGAAACCGTCTATTTAGAGGGGCACCGCCGGGCTAAAATAATGCGTCTATTTAAAACGCCGCCTTTGCCAGGGCCCGCACCGCTGCCGGGGAGGGGTGTGGGGTGTGGGGGTACCCCGATGAGCGTTTGGCTTTCCCCGGACGGCGGGAGGGCAGGGGAGCAGCCCGGGGCCCGGGTCGGGTATCTTCCAGAGACGCCCCAGAAGTTTAAGGGCGTGGGTGTGTGTGGGGGGTGTGTGTGTCTGAGAAGGCCGAGACCTGGCACCGCCTGCAGGTCCGCCCGCAGAACACCACGATGACCGGGTGTACCCTCATTTTCACCCGGGCGGCGGAGAGGGGTCGGCAGTCGCCCCCAAACAAGGGGGAAAAGCGCCGGGGCTCTCTCCCTTCCCGCGGCGGGGCGATGCCCAAGATGGAGGCCGCCGCCCCGCGCCACCTCAGGTGCGAGGGAGCCGGCACTGCCCCCCCCCACCCCCCACCCACCGCCGCTCCGCCTCGCCCGGCCACGCCACGCACGCCCCGGCGCAGCTCGCGCAGCCGCGCGCCTACCCCGCCCCCCCCCCAGCGGGAGCGCGCCCCGCGGTAGGGCGGGGGTGGCAGGGAGGTGATAGGCGCGGGAGCGCGCTTGCCTCGGCTCTTGTGGCTGGGCTGCCGGGCAGGCAGGAGGAGGAGGAAGAAGAAGAAGAGCAGCAGCAACAGCAGCAGCAGCGCGGCTGCGGATCCCCCTCGACCTCGGGCTGCAGCTTCCCGTGAGTACCGGCCTGGCCTTCCCTGTCACCGCGCAGGGAGGTGCCGCCCCCGACGGCATCGCCTGGGCCGGGGCCGCCGCGGGGTGTCCCGGGGCTCCCCTGAGGAGGGGACGGGAGAGCGGGGCGCGGTGCGGCTCCCCCCCGCCCCACGCACACCCCCCCCCCTCGGGGCGCGGAGACCTTGTGAGGGGAGACGCGGGCAGCGGCTGCGAGGAGGCACCTGGTGAGCCCGCCCGCTGCGGGGGCTTTGTGGCGGCGGCCGGGGGGGACCTGACGGGCGGGCGGACTCGGCGGGTCGCAGCCGCGGAGCGTCTCCGCCCGGCCCGGCCGGGCCGGGCGGAGACGCTCCGCGACTGCGACGCGCCCACATCCCTCGGTGGGTAGGTCGCCATTTCGTGCGCTGGCCGGCGGGGGCGAGGGCCCGGCGGGGGCGGTGGCGGGGGAAGAAGGAGCTGTCTGTGCTGAAGTGCCGGGATCCGCGTTTCGGCTTCTACGCGCTCATTTCTCCGCTATTTTTTTTTTTTTTTAAATTGATTTATTTACGCTTCTTGCAGCGGGTAGCAACGCTGGGTTTTTATTTAGGTATAAAACACCCGGACCCTGAGCTTTTCCTATTTGCCCTTGCTTTGCTTTCCTCTCTCTTGATGGCGTTTAACGCAGAAAATTGCAGCGAAGTCTGGGCAGCAAATGCTCTTTGGTTAAAAAGTAATAATTAACTAGACCTTCAGCATCCGCTGAACTCTTCAGCATAGATGTGTTAGTTTGGAAGTCTGAAATGTATTTAAACCAAGGCTTCAGAGTCTAAGTGTAAACAGTACCTGATTAATAATGCCAAGCTGTTTAAATATTTAAAGATCATAGCATGCTTCAGCCCAGTCAATAAGGCTGTTCCATATCGACAAGTACTTGTGAAAGGAATACTATTTCTTAGCTGTCTGTATAGTTAGATAAAACAATGGAAAATGTGATATGTGACTGCGCAGTAGAACCTATAGATTGTGATAAGACATTCTGTTATCCTTAAAGGTTCAGCCTTTCACTGTTATTCAAAACAACCTCCTACTGTGTCAAGAAGCCAGTATTAACCACCTGGGTTTCGTTTTTCTAATGCTCTCTATCTTTGCTTATTTCTTTCTCTGTTTTTAAGTGTTCAAATACATTTTGATTCTTAATTAAGTATATTATGGAAAAGGTTGATGAAACCTGAAAACTTCGTTGCATCTAACAGGTGCATTATCAGTCATTTCACCTTCTTCCATAATTAAACGTAATGGGCGTGATAATTTATGGATATCAATTATATGGGACTGCTCATAGAATAGGTACAACATCAGAAGGCATCTGGACTTCATTTTGAGTTTGAGAGCAGTGCATATACCAAGAGATGCATCTTGCGGGCAAAGGATATCAGCTGGAAAGGGAAGGATACTAGAGTGTTGTATGCTTGCTCAAAGGACCTAGAAGTCAGAAAACTGACTTGCAGGTGAAGCGTATTTTTAATATTTGTCTAATCTGTTTGATATTACCATTTGTATGAATACACCTCAGGTATTTGTTTAGTTGATGGTCGTCCTTAGTTTTGAATAGAAATCGCAAAGCAACTGACCAGAGTTGCTGGAGCGTTTGATAGTGAGGTCTGTAAAAGTTACTTATCTGAATTTCAAAGTACTGTAAAAATCTCTGGGGTGTCTAAAATTAGCTGTCAGACTGTATCAGTACAGAATTGGTAAAGTGTTGTGTTCTGAGAATGAGAATACTGAATGCAAAGAAGCAAAACTAGAAAGCTGCTTGATGTTGACGGAACTCAGTATCCATTGCATGAACTCACATTCTGGAATGTGTAAAGGTGGTGTAGCTTAAGGAAGACTATGCAGCTGTGTGACCACATTGGATGATGGGGTAGTGTGAACCAGCTGGTGCTAATGATGGAGCTAAAACCCTCTTCACAACTCACAGAATAAAACCACAATCAATCATACTCGTATTGGTATCTTACTTCTGTAATTAGTCTTACTGGCCATGGTAAAAATACTCAAAAGTAAGAATGTTCAAGGTGAATGAGCTCACCAGAATCTGAACATTAGTTATCATTCCTTATCTTCTTGCAGAAAGCATAATATTTATCGCATATGTCACAGTTTGCTTGCTAAGAAGGTTTGTAATAAGAAAATTCGTTTTTTAAAAATGGTCTTTATTTTCAGGAAATGAAATAAAACAACAAATTCAGTGGATGCTTACTGATACCTCCTGTCAGTGTGTTTTGCTTTGGTATTTCTCTCTGGTGCTCAAAAAGGAGACAGCAGAAGCTTTTGTAACCAAGTTAGATTTCTTGGGGTTAATGAGATGTCGCTCTAATTGACAGATTTTATTGGTTTGAGGATTCCAATTTCAAGTCAGGAAAAAGGTAATGCTGGTCTCCCCATTCTTCCTGCTGTAGGGAAATGACTCTCTGTGGTATCTGGACATAAAACATACTGAATACACTAAGGGTTTGGGTTTTTGTTAATAGATTATTGCACAGCTCAATCAGCCTAAAAATTACATCTGTTTTGCCTACGGCTGTGGAATTGCTGTTAGACTGTAGTTTTATTAATTTGTCCCAAATCACCCTGAATTGTGATTACTTACCTTCCATTGTATTGGAATAGTACAGCAAAACTGTTCTATTCAGTTTTCACTGGACATGTTCAGTTTGTTATGTTTTATGAACAGAGTTGGTAAAATGCAAAGCCATACAGAGAAAGTATATTTCGGTAATGTAAGCTGAGGCAATAATGTAGGAGGTTGTCTGCTGGGCAATATGCAATGAATTTGATTTTGCCTTCCTGAGTGGGCTGATAGTATTCAAAAAATTCAGTTATACTTTCTCTGCAGTGATAATTTGTTGCATTTTAAATTGGTACGTATTGTGTATTGCCTATTCAGTTTAGTATTAAAGATGTTGTTACTTCTGCATTTATGAATGTTGTCTTGTAAATATAATATTAAGGGAATTTGTAAAGAGTTAATCTCCAATAATAAGATTAACATGATGCACCATAAGTTTTGTCCTACTGTTTGTTAGCCAGGAAAGGATAGTTGCAAGCTAGATATATTGCTTTCTTCTGAGCTACTGGAGGCTGGCTGAGCTTTCAGTTATTTACCTCAATAGAAAACTGAAAGGGAAAAAGTGAACAAAGGAGGTCTGTTTTGCCTGTCCCACTTGCTGGGCTGTTGTCTTTGCCCTTTTCAGTGAAGGAGGGGGTAGAGCTGGGTCAAAGTTGAAGAACACTGAAAAGGAATTCAAGTCTTATATTGAAATGTGAATGATAGCTTAGTTTGAGTGCCGAATGCGTTTGTTTGAATTGATTTTTTTTTTTTTTTTCATCTGTGGAAGCTTTAACTGGCAGATGGTGATGGACTGGCATATAGACTGCTAGAAGATACTGCTAGATATGTGTTCAGACCCCAATTAAGATGCTCTGTAAACAAGTACATATCTGATGAGACTTTTAATACAGGAGATACTGATGCTAGACACTGTGCGACACACTAGACATTTGATTGTGTGAATTAAGGGCAGGCCCCTGCAGCTGGCATACATTCAGGCTTACTTGTCTAGCCTAATTGCATTGCAAATACTCCTCTGGATTGCTCTTTAGCTTCTCCCTTCTAGTAAATGTTGAATAAGTACAGAAATGTTCATCTGGATCCTCAATTAACTGTTGTAAGAAGCTTTCATTTTTTTTGTTTTGCTGTATGAATCAGGATAAATCTATCTTAGTATTCATTTTGTGAATACACTGTTTTCCTACACTGTTTCGGTTTTGAAATGGCTCAATTCATAATGTGATTACAGCTTTCCCCTTGTTAACTTTTTAGTATGGAAGCATAACAGCTTGAATTATAAAATGTTTCTGTAAGAGCTCACAGTACCTCCATTCTACTTTAAGCAACCAAACTTTATATAAAAAGCAGTATTTCGTGCAGAGCATCTCGGATGCACAAAAATAGCCAAGTGAGGAAAAAAAGGCCAGTTCAACTTACGAGGACGTGGTAACTTTAAAAAACAGCCCCATTAGAAAGGAACTAGCTGTCTAAATTGACGACAAAATCAGACAGTTAGTACAAATGTAGTCTCTGTAAATATTCATGTAAGTCTGCTGAATTTGGATGTGTCCTAGTGGGAATAGAGTTGTCCTAATATATCTGCACCACGAGGTGTATATAACCTTTTAATGCCTTCTGGTTTAAGGTATGTAATTGTTACAGTTTAATAGCCTGTTTGAAGAAAACAAAAGTTGGTCCATAACTTCTTAGTTGTACAAGTTAGTCTTTGTTGCTAGTTAGGCATTTCCAGACAGCCACCCAAAATATCAGCATCCCATTTTCCTTTAGACTGTTACCTAAATGATGAGCTGACAGTGTTTATACATGAGTACAGATTTTCCTTGTCTTTCTGAACTGTGCTTCTTGCTTCTAATTTCCCCTTTTCTGTGTTTTCAGGCGTCAAGTTTGTCCACCTTGATTCTGAGGGTTCATGCAAAGGAGTTTCCGTTACAATGTCACAACACTGTAGGGCTCTGTCTCTGTGTGTGTGCAAAGGCATTGTATGTAGTCAATTAGTGCAAAAGCCACCTATTGTACAGTATTTGGAGTCAGGAAACAGTTTTGCTGGTGGAGAATACCATGGAGTTAACTGAACAGCGCATAGGCACTATTCAAGGGAAGTGTTCCTGCTAAATATTGTAGCATGGGCAGGGTAGTAGAAATGAACAACGTTGAAAGAAAGAGGCTGAAGATGATGAATTATAGAGGGAAGGGGGAGGAAATCCATGAGGAGGACTGCTGTATGAGGAGAAGGATAAAGGACAAAATGTATTATTGACTTTTACATTAGAAAGAAGTGGTAGAAGTGAGGGAGTGGGGAATAAAATTCACCGGAAATCTTAAAGGGAAAAGGCAGCAGTCTTGGGAGCTCTGAGTAGAATAGATTGAGAGGGAATGTATGTACAACTCGT